GGGGGTGGAGAGGCGGGCGAGTGCGGCTGCTGCCCTTTCGCGGCTCGTCGCCATATTCTTCAACGGCAAAGCCACTGGGATTAGGGTTTAGGGTTTGGGGTTTGGGGTTTAGGGTTTAGGGTTTTGGGTTAGGGTTTTGCATGTCAGAGAACATATCGGGTTTCAGAGTTCAGGTTGAGCGTGAAGGGTTTCGCGTGTGCGAACACACTTTGGGCGCCAGAATCGCAGTGGTCAGCTTAGGGTTTAGGGTTTAGGGTTTAGGGTTTAGGGTTTAGGGTTTAGGGTTTAGGGTTTGCGGTTTAGGGTTTAGGGTTTAGGGTTTAGGGTTTAGGGTTTAGGGTTTAGGGTTTAGGGTTTAGGGTTTTGTTTTAGGGTTTAGGGTTTAGGGTTTAGGGTTTAGGGTTTAGGGTTTAGGGTTTAGGGTTTAGGGTTTAGGGCAGTGGTCAGCTTAGGGTTTAGGGTTTAGGGTTTAGGGTTTAGGGTTTAGGGTTTAGGGTTTAGGGTTTGCGGTTTAGGGTTTAGGGTTTAGGGTTTAGGGTTTAGGGTTTAGGGTTTAGGGTTTAGGGTTTAGGGTTTTGTTTTAGGGTTTAGGGTTTAGGGTTTAGGGTTTAGGGTTTAGGGTTTAGGGTTTAGGGTTTAGGGTTTAGGGGTTTAGGGTTTAGGGTTTAGGGTTTAGGGTTTAGGGTTTAGGGTTTAGGGTTTAGGGTTTAGGGTTTGCGTGGTTTGTCAGAGAAGATACTGGACGCGTTTTCTGCGTGTCAGTCGGCAGTGTTTTCTTCGGGAAAAAGCATCGAGACCAAAATGAAAGACTTGTCGGAATACTTCGTTTGCTTCCTGGAGTTGCTGCTGCTGCAGCGGCTGCAGGCAGTTGAGGGTTTTGCTGCGCTGCTGCTCAGCAGCAGCAAACTGACTCCTTACCACCTCAAGCTTCTCAAGCTCGAGGAAAAAGCCCTTGTCGACATCATCGCCACCGCCGTCAACCTCCTCGTCTACATCGAAACCGAGGTTTTGGGGCCCCAGGCGAGGGTTTAGGGTTTAGGGTTTAGGGTTTACGGTTTAGGGTTTAGGGTTTACGGTTTACGGTTTAGGGTTTAGGGTTTAGGGTTTAGGGTTTAGGGTTTAGGGTTTGCAGCTTTGGGGCAAATTCGATCCGTTTTGTCCCGAATTTAACACATTAACCCAATTAATAAAGTGAAACGAATTAAATTAAATCAATTAATTAAATTAATTAATTAATTAATTAATTTATTTATTTATTTATTTATTTATTTATTTAATTTTGTTTGCTTCAGGACGAAGAAGACGCAGCACTAGACCCCCGGGCCGTAGTGGAAAACTGCATAGATTTATTTCGGCCAAAAGCAGCAGCAAACCAAACCCCCATAACTTGCACTTTTGCAAATGGATTTCCCTCCACAGCTTTTATTCGCAAGGACAAGCTCGCCACCACCCTCACCCGCGTAAACCCTAATTTAGGGTTTAGGGTTTGCGCACTTAGGCCTTCCGCCAAAGCGCAAACCCCCCAACTCCGAAACCCCCAACAGCCATGGCGGCCGCAGACGCCCGCCAAGAGGGTTCCGCACACACGCAGGGGCTAGGGTTTAGGGTTTAGGGTTTAGGGTTTAGGGTTTAGGGTTTAGGGTTTGGGGTTTGGGTGCAGACTCTCGCCTACGTCTTGGACCACTCTGTTGAAAAGGGCGCGGGAGTTGACATTTATGTAAATGCAAATGTTTCAAATCAAAGAAAAGAAAGAAATGAAAATTCAAACTCTGCTGCTTTCCAGCTTTACGACATTCGCTTCGAGGTCCCCAAACCCTAAACCCTAAACCCTAAACCCTAAACCCTAATCCCTAAAAGCTCAAAGAGGAGGCCGTAGGCCTGCAGAGAAAAGCGGAGTTCAATGTGGAGGGCGAGAGTTGTGGCAGCTGAGGCATCCCAGCCCTAGGCCCAAACCCCAAACCCTAAACCCTAAACCCTAAACCCTAAACCCTAAACCCTAATTTGGGGTGTGCAGGTGAAGGGCCATGGAGTTTGCATGGAGAACACAAAGGCGCAAATGATGGTACAGACGAAGGGCCTCATCGACAGGCGGGTTACCCATTGGTCGTTGCCCCAGGGTTTAGGGTTTAGGGTTTAGGGTTTAGGGTTTAGGGTTTAGGGTTTAGGGTTTAGGTGTTGTTTGTGAGGATCTGCGCGAGTGGGGTGGGGGCGTTGAGTGCGGGCGGCGGGGAAGGGCTGCGTCGGCTTGGCGAAGGCGTAAACCCTAAACCCTAAAAAAGGGTTTGCGCGCAGGGGCGGGCAGGGTTTGCGGCTGCTGACGTGCAGCCGCATAGCGCAGTCGCTGGGAGGGTTTATGGAGATCCAAGCCTCGCCTTCTCGGGGGACTTTTATTTCTTTTATTTTCCGGAGAAGAGGGAGGTTTTCTTTGGAAGACATTGACGGGAGGTTTGCATCTCTCAAGGGTTTAGGGTCTCAGATTTTCACTTTGTCTTTGCCGCTGGAGACCAAGCAGTTCTTCGCCTTCCTCGCCAAGGACATTGGAGTCAAGTGCACCAACTGCTTCTGCCTCCGCCAGCTCATTCAGGAGCTCAAGGAGGTCAAAACCCTAAATTAGGGTTTGGGGTTTAGGGTTTAGGGTTTAGGGTTTAGGGGTTCGGGGTTCGGTTTCGGGGTTGGGAGTGCGGCACGCCGCCCAGCCGCCACCAGGCGTCCGAGGGAGCGGGGAACGCGCCTGCAGGGTTTAGGGTTTAGGGTTTAGGGTTTAGGGTTTAGGGTTTAGGGTTTAGGGTTTGCGGGCAGGACGACCCGGAGTGCCCCACGTTGGCGGTGTTTTTGGGGGACTTTGTGAAGAGCAGCGCAAACCCTGCAGACAGAGACTCGCGGCCAATGACTCCGAAAGAAATATTCAACAAGTTGCTGCTGCATGCAGCAGAAGGCAACAAAGAAGTGAAGTTTAGCTTCGTGTCTGCGCGCCATTTGCTGCAGCAGCAGCAGCAGCAGCAGCAGCAGCAGCAGCAGCAGGACGACTGCAGCAGCCTCCTCAGCAGGCCCGCGCAAACCGCCCGCAGCGTCAGGGCCAGCACTCTCGCCCAAAACGTCGTCTACAGAGAGTGCGGCCAGCAAACCACAAAAAAGGGTTTGGGGCTTAGGGTCTAGGGTTTAGGGTTTGCGGGCTAGGGTTTAGGGTCTAGGGTTTAGGGGCTGTAGAAAATCGCTGCGTGAAAGGGCCACATTTACCCGGCAGACTCGAGGGTTTAGCGCCTAGGGTTTAGGGTTTAGGGGCAAGGGTTTTGATCTTCTAGCCTAGGGTTTACGGCTTGGGGCTCAGGGGCTGGGAGGTGTGGCCCGGGGTTTAGGGTTTAGGGTTTAGGGTTTAGGGTTTAGGGTTTAGGGTTTGCGTGCCAGACTGGAGCTTCCGCTCAAGACGAGCGATGTCATGGACGTCATCATTTTGGCCATGCAGGAGAGGATGCAGCAAAGGGAAGAAAGGTGCGAACAAGAGTTTAGGGTTTAGGGTTTAGGGTTTAGGGTTTAGAGTTCAGGGTTAAGGGCCTAGGGTTTAGGGTTTAGGGTCAGCGTGACTGGCTGCGGACACCCCCCTGCACTGCTTCAGACCCCCATCATCTCTGCAGTTTAGGGTTTAGGGTTTAGGGTTTAGGGTTTAGGGTTTAGGGTTTGGGTGCAGAGCGCGGGCGAAGAGCAAGTTAAAAGTGTCGTACATGGTGGACGTGCGAAAGGACTCGAACGAGTCTTCGTCAGTGTATTCGGAGGACGAGCACCAGCAGCAGCAGCAGCAGCAGCAGCAGCAGCAGCAGCAGCAGCAGCAGCAGCAGCAGCAGGAGCGGCTGCGCAGCTCCTCCTTCACCCGCCCTTCCGCCAGCAGAAGCCGCAGCACTGCAGCAAGCAATCTGGAGAGCAGCAGATCGAGAGGGTCTCGAGCAGCTCCGACTTTTTCGCAAACCTCCGTCAAACTGGACTCCGTCAGCAACGACGCAATTGAAAGTGAGGGTTTAGGGTTTAGGGTTTAGGGTTTGGGGTTTAGGGTTTGGGGTTTGGGGTGGGGGTTCGGCGCTGCGCTTCAGGGGCTAGGCTTAGCGCCAAAGGGCGAAGTTCCAGCGTCTAGAGTCCACGGTCTAGGGTTTAGGGTTTAGGGTTTAGGGTTTGGCGGTTAGGGTTGCGTGCGCAAAGTGTAGGGTTTAGGGTTTAGGGTTTAGGGTTTAGGGTTTGACGTGGTTCCTCCCACCATACGCTATTCCCACTTTGCCTCTGCGACCAGCGCGGACTTTGCCTCTTGAAAGCCTCTCCGCGCACCAGGACTCAGGGTTTAGGGTTTAGGGTTTAGGGTTTAGGGTTTAGGGTTTAGGGTTTAGGGTTTGTGCAGGCGAGGGGGGTTTGAGCGCGGTGGCTCTGGAGGACATTCTGGACCCCCACATCGAAGCTCTTTTTGCTGCTCGCGAAGAAATGCCGGATTGTTTAAAAGCAAATGTAAACGCTGTTTTAGGGGTTATAAACCAGCAAGGGTTTGACGCGCCCGTCGGAGAACTCCTCGCCGCCGTCGACGAGGTAGGGTTTAGGGTTTAGGGTTTAGGGTTTAGGGTTCAGCGGCTCGGGTTTCGCGCCTAGGGTTTGGGGGTTAGGGCTCAGGGGCTCGGGTTTGGGGCTTGACGTTTGCGGTTTAGGCTTTAGGGTGTAGGGTTTAGGGTTGAGGGTTTAGGGTTTAGGGTTCAGGGTTTAGGGTTTAGGGTTTAGGGTTTAGGGTTTAGGGTTTAGGGGTTGGGGTTGCACGGGGAACAGGCGCAGCAGACGAAGAAAGTGGGGCTAGGGTTTAGAGTTAAGCGCTTAGACTCAGAGATCTAGGGTTTAGGGTTTAGGGTTTAGGGTTTAGGGTTTAGGGTTTATTGTTTCGATCAAAAAGATTAGACAGCCGAGCAAATGCTGAAATCTACCCCGTGGGGTGTTGCAGCTTGCAGCGTCGACGCCGTGTCCGTGGCGCCGCGGATTCAGGGTTTAGGGTTTAGGGTTTAGGGTTTAGGGTTTAGGGTTTAGGGTTTGCGCAGCGCGTGAGCGAAATCCCCCTGGAGGCCTGCAGACAACTCGCTAGTTTGGTGGATGTCAGTTTGGAGTTGGAAAAATATTTGAGAGAAATGCCTGGCGAGCGTTTAATAGAAGAGGCTTTGGGGGAGCAGCGCCGCAAAACCCTCGAGGAGATTCAAGCCAGGCAAACCCTAAACCCTAAACCCTAAACCCTAAACCCTAAACCCTAGGCCTTCTTGAGCGCGACGCCCACGCGCCGCCCGCAACTCGGAACGCCTACACACACTCACCACAAACCCTAAACCCTAAACCCTAAACCCTCAAGGGCCAGTGAGGCGAAGGACAGAGCCCACGCGGGACCCCAAACCCTAAACCCTAAACCCTAAACCCTAAACCCTGCGAGCAGGCGGGAGAGAGGAGAAGAAATCGAGGAAAGTCTTTTGCTGCTTTCTGGAGAAAAAGAAAAAGATGAAAAACCCCAAAAGAAACCGCTGGCCTACACCCTTTCAAAACCGCCACCCAAAAAACGTAAACCCTAAACCCTAAACCCTAAACCCTAAACCCTCACCACGGAAGCCTGAACAGAGACAAACCCCACAAGCAGAAGGGGGATATGCGTGCCCGTGAAAGACAAAATGCTCCGATGGCCATTTCTTCCGGGTTTAGGGTTTAGGGTTTAGGGTTTAGGGTTTAGGGTTTAGGGTTTAGGGTTTAGGGTTGATGAACAGGCAGAGACCCTCTGTGGTGGATGGGCTCAATTGCATGCCTCAAGGTGCAGATTCCTCCAAACCACAAGATTCAGGTCTGTCTGAAACCCTAAACCCTAAACCCTAAACCCTAAACCCTAAACCCTAAACCCTGCAGGCGTTCGAGTCCGCCGCTGTTGCCACTTCTCTCTTGCCGGATTGAGAACTGGAGCTTTTGGCTTCCGGGTGAAAGCACTTGCGCCGAGGGCCACAATCTAGGCTTTAGGGTTTAGGGCTTAGGGTTTAGGGTTTAGGGTTTAGGGTTTAGGGTTTAGGGTTTGCGCGCAGGCCTTGTTCAACTTGGCTTCTGTTTCTTGCTTCGATGGCAAACCCTACACGATGCATGATTTATTAGATTGGGACTTTCACGTTTTGTCTTTGCCTGAGCCGGAGGCCGTGCGCCTCTGCAGGTCCAAACCCTAAACCCTAAACCCTAAACCCTAAACCCTAAACCCTAAACCCTAAATCCTAAACCCTAAGTGATACTTTGTAAGCGCTAAACCCTAGGGAGTGGCTGCGGAAGTGGCCGCAGCATTTCGAGCGCGGGCTGCGCTGCTGCACACTTCCCCCCGCGCTCCTCAAGATTTAGGGTTTAGGGTTTAGGGTTTAGGGTTTAGGGTTTGGGTTTAGGGACTTGCTGATGTACTACGCGGAGCGAGCCTCTCTTGGAGTCAGAGGAGAAATCATTATGAACTTCTGCGGGGCTTTGCATGCAAATTATTTGCCAAACCCTTATCACAATTTCTACCACGCCCTCAACGTGGTCCAGGTTAGGGTTTAGGGTTTAGGGTTTAGGGTTTAGGGTTTGCGGGGCTCCTGGGTTCTCAGGCTTCGCGGTCTAAACCCCTGAGCGCTAAACCCTAAACCCTCGACTCGACGCAAGCCCAGCCGCTGCGGCGGCGGCTGGCCGTAGGCGCAGGGCCTAGGGTTTAGGGTTTAGGGTTTAGGGTTTAGGGTTTAGGGTTTAGGGTTTAGGGTTTGCGAGCAGGTGCTTTGTTTGCTGCTGGCGCTGCCCGACGTGGGGGCCCGCTTTACTCCCACAGATTATTTTGTTCTTTCTGTTGCTGCTCTTGGCCACGACTTGGGGCACCCAGGGTTTAACAATCTGTTCATGCAGCGCAACCAGTGGTAGGGTTTAGGGTTTAGGGTTTAGGGTTTAGGGTTTAGGGTTTGGGGTTTAGGGCTTGGGGCTTGGGGTTTGCAGCTTGAGGGCTGCGCTGGGGGATGGGAGGTTTTGTAGAAACTCGATTTGGGCCGTGGGCTTTGGCTATTGCTGCTAGACGCTGAATCTAGGGTTTAGGGTTTAGGGTTTAGGGTTTAGGGTTTACGGTTTAGGGTTTGCGTGCAGTTGGCCAGCTCGGATTTACAACAACGTTTCTATCCTCGAGAATTACCACGCAGCCTCGTTGCTGCAGATCCTTCGGTCAGCGCAAACCCTAACCCTAAACCCTAAGCCCTAGAACCTAAACCCTAAACCCTAAACCCTAAACCCTAAACCCTAGCCCCTGAAAATGAAAGTGCAAGTTGTTCAAGGCTGCTATTCTTGTTGGCAGCAGTCGTCGCGGCGCTCTCTGCAGCCGCTGAGGGTTTGGGTTTAGGGTTTAGAGTCAGCGCACCGGAACTGAAAGTCCAGGGTTTAGGGTTTAGGGTTTAGGGTTTAGAGTGTAAGATGTAGGGTTTAGGGTGCAGAATTTAGAGTTTAGGGTTTAGGGTTTGGGATTTCTATTTTCGGGTTTCGGGTCCAGCGTTCAGCGCTCAGGACCAATGGCTTCGGCGCCCAGCGTCTACCGCTGAGGGTTTAGGGTTTAGGGTTTAGGGTTTAGGGTTTAGGGTTTAGGGTTTAGGGTTTGCGCAGGGTGCCGCACATGGACGTGTTTGCGGGTTTGTCGGACTCGGAGTTGCCCGCAGTTCGCGAGCGAATTATAAACGCCATTATGTGGACTGACATGGCGAAGCACTTCGACATGGTGGCGCAGCTAGACGGCAAAATCCAAGTCTGCTGCTGCTGCTGCTGCTGCTGCTGCTGCTGCTGCTGCTGCTGCTGCTGCTGCTGCTGCTGCTGCTGCTGCTGCTGCTGCTG